ATATTAAATGATTTATAAACTGCGGTTATAAAATGAAAACATGTGCTTAACTAAAAGTGGGGAGAGTACCTTCTTCTATACCAAGTTTTTGATGCATTATTGACTTTTTATTCAATAAAACGTAAATATAAATCTAATTCCTTCTCTAATTTTTGAGTAACAACTTTCATTAAATGACGTTCTTGTATCAAAAACCATTTCAGGGTTTTTTTTTTAAGTAGCTTAAAGGCATTTATATAATTAATTTATTCCTTATATTAAAAAAAAATATGACTACGGGAATGACATATTAAGCTTATTTTTTGACGTCTGCGAGTACGTTTTACATTCTAGGTTATTTCAATTTTTTCTAAAAACGGCTTTACTTTTCTCAAAATATTGATAATGGTTATTAACCAAGCAAAACATATTTTTCTATGCGCATATCTAAGAAAATTGTGTCCAACCAAATTTAAATTTTTTAATTTACAATTATTATACCTGGCATATTAAATAGAGAAAAAGCGTTTGTGTTAATGTATAATTATATGATTCTCAAGTAAGTAGCATGAAAAAAAAAAAAACTTTGAGTTTTACAACCTAGTTTTTCGCTGCTCCACTGATCTTTTCCGGTAACCCATTTAAATCAATGAGTTGTTTTATAAACCCTTAACTTCTAAATTTATTTTTCCTTCAGTTAATAAGGCGGAGGCAGCTTTAAAACAACCAAGGAAAACAAGAAGGTTGTCACAGTAACTTAGGGTTAATAAGCCAGCCTATTCATAAAGGCATTCTATATATGTTCTCTTCATATATATAATTTATGAACCTGCAGTGAGCGCATATTTTAGCCGCTTATAACTAGTATACCAAGTAAACATAATTAAATATTTAAAAGAGTATTTTGTGTAGTTTGTTAGGGTGCTTACCGCATGCTTTAAGTGATTGCTGTTCTTGACAAAAAATAATTATTTATATATATATATATGGGTTTCAATTGGAAGCCTCTGAAAAGTTACTTGTTACTTAAAAACCATCCGGCGTTGGTACTCGTTAGCAAAAGTCTATGCCGGCGCATGCATTAGTATTGCTCTTATGCAGCATGAAAAGTTTAGTATAAACATAGCTTTCTTGTTCCCTAAGAGCACTAAATCAAATTTTAAAGGAAAAAAGTGGTAGCAGGGGGTTCATGGAAAGCATTTATATTAACACGTGCAATGTGTAATCAGTTATTTAATTCTAATAGTAAAAGCTATATTGAATATACAGCAAAGGTGGCAAAGAATACTATTGAGGAACACCAGCGCAGTATATATGAGGCGCCTTAACCGCTCTAATCCTACTCATAAATTTTGCGGTTGTAGAAAATAGAGAATACTGTAGCGCCATACTTTATAAAAGCGGGTGGCACATTTTTGCCTAACCCCAAATTAGTAATCACAAATAAGTTTCTTTATAAAGGCTATATTGACTCTGCTACTTCCAGGAGGCATGATGAAAGACTTAAGGGACGAAGTTTTCATAATAGATGAACTTTCTGTTGTATATAAGAAATGAAAATATGGTTGCTTACTTCTGGTAATCCGGAAAGAAAGAGTAACACAGGACAGAGTTAAGAAGTTTTACGTCTTTTCTTGTTTAAGCAATCCATACTTGCTGCTACTTCTCCTCTGAGGTAGGCAGCATAGGTGTGGTCCAAACATTTCCGGAGATAGCCTCGGCGATGACTTTACGAAACCATGTTAACATATTTCAAAAGTTATCTAGGTGTATGAAAAGAGCGATGTGGCAAAGCATGCAGTCTTATCTTCTGCAGCGAGTTTTAATAGGCGGTATATTAGTTTACATTTGGAAAACGTGTAGTTAGTGAAAGCTAATTATAAAATAATGTACATAAGCTAACCAATGGCTAAGCAAAAAAAAAATCGGGTTGCAGGTGGCATTCAACGAAGGGAATGAGTTGCATGAGTTGATACAACGCAAAGTTTGACCAAGTGTTATTAGCAAAATTCATATTTATCCAGACTCTCGTTTCGGATCATAAACCTACAATATTTTATCCTAGACTTAAATCAGTGTTAATAAGGCAAGACAGAAAAATATATAATTTATAGGGATATATTTCTTAATGGGAGGATTTATTTATAAATAGCGTTTCCTGGTTCTCGATATATATAATAACTTCAAGCTCTCCAAGAACTTTAGCCGCCTACAAGTAAAAGATATTAATAGCTTAAAAAGTGTCCTTTCTGTTTCATTTAACCCACAATTTTAGTTTCTAACTCTAACGCTAAGAGTGCGTCACGCGGACGGTGGTATAGTGCGCCACCCCACAACTCACAATTGAGGTCTTTCGCTAAAAGACTTTTAGCATGCCAATGTAAGACATATGACCTTGCTGGTTTATATATATTATAATAACTTTCATATAACATTCTCTTTCTACCAATTTAGTAGATCGTATCAATCGATTTTTTTTATGTTTCTAACCATGAGTGGGACAGTTCATGTAGAAATTTTATAAATACACACGAATGATAACCTGATAAATTCCCTCTTGTTGTGCTCTCGTGTCCTGTTTCAGTGCATGTTAGTTTTGTGGTATGTATATTTTAATAGATTACTCCAATGCTCTACCATATAAGCTACGGTAGCTCCCTATTTCAGTGAATAAAGAGAGTCCTGACCACCTATGCATCACGAAGTTAAGGGAGTTTCGAACCTGTGTACCCTTATAACGGATTAATCGCACCCAACCGTGGGGCGTCCTCGGGTTGCGATTAATTTCGACAGTATATACACGTCATGAAATAGACAAATATAAACTTACTCCAATATACGTGCATCAGTTTTGATGTAGATCTTTTTATATAATAATATTTTGTGATCCTTTTTACTCAAAATCTTTTTATAATTATATAACTTTTTGAAAAAAATCTGAGCAAGTGCACAGCCGACAAAAAGTGTCTATACATTCAACCAGTGAAATCGTTAAAAGTTTGCAAATGCTCTACCTTTTATTTTTTTTTTTTACACGTTCTGGACATTAAAATCTGACGCTTCATTGCATATATTAGAATTTCTTTACAAAGAAGTTGTACACATAACCACTAAACCAAAAAAGTTCGAGATGACACCGACGGGAATCGAAATCCGCGACGTTGAGGTTGCTCGAGAACGCTCCATTTCGGCCGATAAATTGCGCATACAAATTTTTTTTGTTAGCTAACGAGTATAATACTATAAAAGATAGGTATAAAACGTTGTTATAGGGTTATAAGATTTCATGGGATTTCTTAATAAACAAAGAGGACATTTTAAAAAGTGGAAACCTTCCGAAATTCATGTCCCCTTATCTTAAATAAATAAGACTGCTAAAGAGGCCACACAAATTATTGACTTTTTAAAATAAAAGTTATATAAATACTATAATGTAATGAAAACGGTATGCCTATAAATTAGATCCTTCCCCGGGGAATACCCTATTTATAAAATTCTTCCTTGTAGAGAAGGACAGTATGATAAGGAGATTGGTGAGGGATCCTCCAAAGTTGACGTTATTCCGCTCTACAAATAAAACTTGGCGTCTGTTGCTCTACACTTTATTAAAAAAAAACTCATCTTACTTGTAGCCTATATAAGACATAAGTACAGATTAAATGCGACTTCACAAATTTTCATTTTTGCAAAGTTTTAGGGTCTAGTTAAGTGCTTACCCGGAAATCTGTTTTTTTTTCTTCTTTTACTTAATATTTTTCATTGTGTTAAGCGCTCCTTAAGGAGAGTTTCAGCTTTTTAAATAAATTAGTGCGGTGACTCAACTTTTAATTTACTTATGACGTATTAATTCTTTTTTTCATGACTTTAATAATAACACTTTAAAATAATAGAAGTTAAATACAGTCTTGACAGCTTTTCCTTGGCCTTATATTTAAAGTTAGGCTAATATGTTAAATTTTGTTTCTATTTTTAAAAAATAGATAAAGACTTTAATTATCGCTTAAAGTGTAGTAGGCATGAACAATGTACACGTTGTGGACAAAATCTCGTTATATAACTTCCATCTTTTCTTTATTTTATAACTCTAACAGATAACAACTTTTCAAAGAAGAGATATAAAAAGCCTATTGCCTACTGAAGCAGAACTTAACTAAAAATAAAAGATGGTTTAGCAAACATCATCCAGAAAGGCTACAAAAATTGTGCATAATACAGAAAATATTTTTTAAAGTATTTTTTAAATTCCATGTACAGTTCCTTTATAAGAAAAACACATTTCCAGTCGCGAAAGTGGATTATAGCGTTATATAATATATATTTAGCAACTAAATAGCGTGTTAAGCACGCCCAAGCTGGATTGTACGTTAATATTTAAAAAACGAAGCAAAGTCTTTCATAAAGGAAAAAAACCCCTTAAGAATGAGTAGAATCAAAAACCACGAGCGTTACACCACTGCGAAATTGAATTATTAAAAGTTTCCCCAAAATAAAAATTATCAGAAGCAACAAGGATTATTATTATAGTTTAATTTTAAGTAGCTGATAATAAAAAAATTGCTATTGGTTCAAAAGAACTTCAAAGCTGTTTAAGGACGTTCAAAGTTTTTATAATAGTTACTTTCTTTGCTCACTCTCGGTTGTAAATAACTTCCAATTGAACTTTAAATTTTATAATTGTAACAATAATTCTTATTTTTTTTTTAAGAATTTTCCAAAGTTTTTATAATAGCTTAAAAACGTTTATTTCAAATATTAAATTCCAACTAAAAAATCCACTCACTTTTTACCTGTAGTCTAATTGCTATAAATAGTTGCTTAATAAACTTAAAGACGCCAACTTTAGCTTAACGTTTTACAAAAAAACGAATATCTTATTTAAAACTTAACTATGTTAAGTTCATAAGTACTTAAAAATAAATGTTCTATATAAAACTTCTCGAATGCAAGCTTAATGTTCAACTACCAGTATGTTAAATTAAAAAATGAAAAGAAAAATAAGTTGAAAAATCGTTTTATTTGAGATGTCGTTATTAGGTAAAAATTTAGAAAACTAATATTTACTTAAGTTTTTTCTTAGGTCTTAATTGAGAGCTGTGTCCGCACTTCTTCTTTCGACAGTTTACAGCTCGAGGGGGTAAACGAGCATAACAACTACAATGTACTTACAAAAAGACTATCATAAATAAGCAAAATAATAATACCTTCTACATATCATCTTATTACAATTATAGCTTTGTGCTAGAAGCTTCATTGCAGGCTCAATTTCTCCGCCACGGAGTCGTAGAACAAGATGAAGTGTAGACTCTTTCTGAATGTTATAATCGGAAAGGGTTCGTCCATCTTCAAGCTGCTTTCCTGCGAATATCAAACGTTGTTGGTCCGGAGGGATACCTTCTTTGTCCTGAATTTTAGTTTTCACGTTATCAATGGTATCTGAAGGCTCGACTTCAAGGGTGATAGTTTTACCCGTAAGGGTCTTGACAAAAATCTGCATTACTAATAGAGATAAACAATATTAATTAAAAGGTAATAAAAAGGATCAAACGGCTTAAATAAAAAAAAACAAAAGGGCATATAAAAAGGGCTAAATCTAACCAGAGAGAGAGGCCAAGAAAGCTACAGGCAACAGAACCCCGTTTCACTGCGAGCTTATATGCTGTAAAAGTAGCAACCACGTGAATTGAGTTATAATAAAAAGTCGGTGGGGTTTTGCATGACGTAGTGAAAAATTATAAAAAAAAATTGTTTTATTATCTTAGACTGTTACTTTATTAAATTACAATTTAATACTAAAGTAAAAAATTTGAATTTTTAGTGGTTATATTATATCTTTTATTAATTTTTATTGATAGGCCACTCTAATTTTAAGGCAAATTAACTATAAACTTTTTAACAAAAAACCTGTACTATTTATGGAAATCAATAGGCTCCATGACACACAGTTGATCTCATACGCATTAGACACCTTTATACATCATCTGAGTTTTCAACGTTTGTCACAAGTATTATAGTTCTATAAAAACTATAATCAGCTTACAGCGGTTACTTTATTTAAATCGTTAGTTTATTCTGTTATTCGTCTTAAGATGTAAACGTGGTTAACTTACCGAGCAATCTACAATTTTTAACATAAACTAGCTGCCAAGTAATATTATTTAAGCGTAATGTATACTGCCCACCTTGAAGTGTTTTATGTTAAGTTACGTATACTTGTTTTTTCTCAAGGACAATTTAAAAATGAACTGCTATAAAATTTAGCTTTAACATTTATTACGTTATACATAACAGGTTCTTCTTGTATTTATAAAATAAAAGCGCAAGAAAGGTTACATAGTAATTTATAATAGCACAAACTTTATTTTTTAAATCCTTACAGCAGATTTTTTTTTACAAAAAAAACGAGATGCATTCTCCGTTGCTGATAAACCTTTAACTTTGCCAGAAAATTAATCATATATGCAGTTTACGTAGGAAATTTAATTGATTTATAGGGAAAAAAAATTATTGCAAACTAGGTGTACTTAATATGAAAGGTTTCGTTTTTTTACACCGTGTATTGCCAATGACTTTTGGCAGAATCATTATATTGTTCTTCGCAACTATTTATTTTACTGTAGTGGTTATATAGATTAAGTTTATTATTAGTATCTAATTATTTATTATTTTGGCATACTACAGTCATTATATTTGCTGTAACTTAAACTGTTTACTCTGTCCCCGTAATATAGAGAGGGGGTCAAGAAGGGTTAACTCCTTTACAAATTATAGGGTGTAGCATAAAGACGACTATGTTACAGAAATTTTAAGCGTTTATTATATCCCTTTTTTTTTTCTTATTAATAATTTACGCAGATGCTCCGTAAATTCGAGCCCAAATTGCCTAGCTTTGCTAATAAATTTGATTATCGACCGTAGTCCGTCCGTTGCCACTAGTTATCTTATCAATTTATATATACACATATATATGTGCGTGTGTAGAGGCATAAAAACTAAATGTGTGAGTTCTGGAGTCAATAGGTGGTTCGGATGCCTACTAACACTTTCAATAGGATAGTAGTTGCCCAGACCCGGGCCGTCGTATAATCAACGATGTTAATCACCACGTCCATTCAACAAATCCGTGCGCGCATGCAGTTTTTTGCATTCGGCAGCGGACAGAATGCGTGGGTTACGCTTTAATTTTAGCCCAACGAACCTACTTGTTACTGCTAAGTTAACCACTTATCGATGAAAACTCTTAAGTTTTGAGCTTGTGTGCCCCTTATTCGAGAAATATGGGAGAGGGGTAGCGAATTGCATTTTCTTGAAATAAGAATTACTCTGTGTTTCTCTGCATTAATGTGCCCCTTACCAGCGTCAATTGTCTAGTGATTCCAAGTTAGCGGAGTTTTTTCTTTTTTACCGTATACACCACGAGTAGTTCGTGTTTTGTCTATGAGCTACTTTAACTGAGATATAACAAAGGTAGCGGGTGGTGCCCGCTAACTCCTTTTTTAAACAAAGTAAAGTAGAGTTTTCAAAACAACTTCTCACTTTAAGCTTTCTCGTAACACTAGTCTTTGTTTACATAAAGAATAGTAGGCGTAGGTTTATCCAGAAGCTACCGCTAATTATTTTTTTTCTTCTTTAAAAAAAGAGGAATTTACTTCTGGGCTATCCCTTCTTGCAAAGTGCTTTTCCTAATTTAAAAAAGATGACAAACTGAAACAATAGCTTTTACTTATCTACTGCCCCATATTTCGGTGGAAGGTACACTAAGACTTTAAGTGATAAAAAATTTTATTTATTTGATCACTTACAGTTTAAGTTAGAACCCAGGAAAAAGGATTTTTTTTTCCTTTGCCTACTCTCTTTTTCTTTAAAGAGGACTTAAAACTCGACCTCTTAAAACTTTAAATCTATAGAAAGTGTAAAAGTAAATTCTGGATAGTAAATAAAAAATTTAAGTTTATAATAGTTGGCAATTTGAGTTAAATAACAAAGGCGGTCCCCTACCGTTAATCCATTTTATCAAAGTATGATATGTATCTATATATACATATGTGTGTGTAAAGCTTACCTAGTTTATAAATTGGTAAAATACAAGCAAAATATTAGTAACTTTATAAGTTAATATTGTCAAAATAGCTGTAACATATAAGTTGATTAACTTTTATCTCCCAAGGAGCAGTTAGCAACCAATCTGCTTACTAACATAAAAGGTCACCAAACGTCTTTCAACAAGCTTTGTTTAAAAGCGCTCGTTTAAAGATCACGAAACTGAAAAAATATAGAACTGTCTTGAACTTTTGTCGTGTGTTGCGGGATCATTACACCACTTAATTATTAAAACACTTATGACTTTTGATAAACTTAAAAATACGGCTTTTGACTACTTTAGATAAACGTGCAAAAAATGACAAAGTCTCCCACTTTTCGAAGTATTATATTACTATTAGACTTAGTTGAGTGAACAACTTAAAATTTTACACATTGAACGTAACTAACACAATGAAGTAAAGTTTTGTGTCCACTGTTTTTTGTTAATAGTTTGCGCCAAAAAATATTATATATAAGAAAAAAAAATCCTTTATAATAAGGTAATAGTTCTGATACAAACCTGAACGTAAAGTCACTGCCAAATTTTATACTATTAACTTATATAAACCACAATGCGGTGAATTGTCTAGGTCGATGCTTTAGCTTCGGCTTTTGTAAAGATGCAGTTCGGTTGTGAGCTATCTTTTCTTGAATTCTCGTTCCAAGATTGACCATCGTTTAGTTAAAAAAGACACTCTCTGCCTTTAGACTACTATCACAAAAGTGTTGGTAGAATAGATTGGGTCTACTGAGATAGTCTTCAGAAAATTGACTGAAATGCCCCTATTGTAGACCTTGCAATAAATTGCTGGAGTGCCAGCCGTTAGTGGACCACCCGAAGAACGGTAGGAACTTACGCGACACGGCGCGGTGCTCGTTAGTAACCCCCCGGAGCCTGCGAGTCCTTTGACTTTAACTAAAACAGTAGTAAGCTGAACTACAGTGAAAAGAATAACAGTGGTTTATATCTGTGGAGACCATGCTAAGTCTCGAGGCTGTAAGAACCGACGGATACCAAGAAAAGCTTGAGTTGCTCCAAATTTTGGTTGTGAAGGAATGCTCTTAATAATAAGGAAGCCTTAGGTAAACGACGGTCCTTTAAAAGGCGTTCGGTGAAATGGGTAAACTCCAAGCTAATAAAAAATATAAAACAGATGCTACTAGTTAAAACCGTTAAACAAATCTTCAAAATAAAAGCTTTAACTTTTAATAAATGACTGTTAACTGACCGAAAAATCAATAATAAAAAATCCAAAAATTTCACGGCTACAATCCAGCTTAACTTACAAAGTACTGTACAAATAGATAGATAAAAACCAAGCATATGAATTCCTCACTAAGGTAACCATAACTGCAACACAAATAACAAAAGTAAAACTGAATATATAAATAAATTAGAGTAAATTTATTATAAGCCTAGTAACATTAACTTCGATAACCGCGCGTTTTAATTTCCTGCGTGTTAACACGAACGCCCTTAATTTGACCGAAATTTATAAACTTCAACATGTCTGCAGTTGTCTCATCAATATTTATCGGGCCGGTGGCGGGAGACATGGCAGAAACAGATGGAACGTAGTTATCCCGTCTTTCACGTTCTTCTTCTTGAAGTTTAATAGAAATCCCTCGTACGGCGCCTATATAAATACATTAATAAGTAAAATATTCATATATTTTTCAAATAGAAAACCTTTTTCGATTCTCTTCATTAGATGAGTCACAAAACCAGCGATCTTATTTCGAAGTTTTTTAGAAGGAATGTCAGCAATTCCTTCACACACGCGTTTGTTTACATGAAAATCTAAAGTTAATCGTGTGTAGTATTTCTCAATAATAACCTTTGAGGCCTTCTTAACAGTCTTAGTTCTAACTCGCCCCTAAGTATAATAAATCCTTGTTTAATAGAAAAAAAGAAAATCTAAACTTTGTAAACAAAAGAATACGGTAATAAAATATAAGTAAAAAGCATAAAAATTTAATAATAAAAGTTAAAGTAAATGAGGGTTTTTTTATAATTATAAATAATCAAATATTGCGCAAACTTTATATGGTATATAAGCTAAAGAGAACTCACCATTCCGCCAGATGTTAAAACACTGGAAATCGCCCCTACTTGAGTAGGAATAAATTCTTAAAGCACAAAGCACGTGCACTTCCATAGCATTTGTAAATAGCAAAATCAGACACCTTTTTTATGACCAATTGGTTCTTAATCTTTTTTTATTATTATTAGTTTTATAAAAGGTGTAGAAGGAAAATATAAAAATTTTAGAAATAAACTACATGTATAGTCAAAAGTTTAATATACTAAATAATTTTATAAAATGGTGGAATACGAAATGGTAAACGGAAAATTAATTGAAATCGTCCAACACTTTTTTTTTATGGTTATTTTACCAGATATATATGTTTTCTCGTCCTTTCTCTAAGTTTTATATTAAAAATTATTGGTAGTGAATGATAATATATTGGCCTATGCTGTAATATATGTCTTAGAATAGTGTATACATTATTAAAATATCATGTGACTTAATTTAATAAGAATTATTCAGTTAGCGGCCTGTTAACGATACAATGTCTACCATTTTTAAAAGCTTCTCTGGATTGTAAATTTAAAATTTAATTGAATCTTATGGGCAAAGTAAAAAAGTATGTTACCTTTCACGTTGCATTTGTAAACCGCTACGCTGTTGTGTCTCACACTCCATATAGACAAAACCAAAGAAACCATGCAAACCTAATTTTTTTTTAAAGATTAGGTAACATATAAAATTTATCATTTTGTTCCTAATAAGAAAAAAAGTTGAAGTTCTTTGGCCATACTTATCACTAACTTTAAGCACCTATACTGCTCGTCAAAATTTGTATGCATTGAAATATATATAGGTTTCATATAGTTTAATTTTTAAGTTTATACTAGTTTATAATAGGAACTTTTGCAGTATGTGCTGCAAAAATATTATAACTGAACGTTATTTTATAATGACACAACACCTACTTGGTGTAATAACTAAAATCTACGAAGAGAAATAACCAAGTTCGAAAAAAAACCTTTCTTGTTTTGAAGCTTGTGATAATTATAGAATACTTCATAGCCTTTCTTGTATTAGTACGGCATACACAATTCATATTTGCCTTCATGACAGGAGGCATACAAACAGTAGATCTTCCCTACTGATTTGGGTGTACTGGTATATATAATATACTTGAAGGTCTTTGATAGGTATATAAAAAACTCTTAGCGTTATTGCGGCTATTAAGCATTCGGCATGATACGACTAAAATAAAAATTCCTCCTTAAACATTAAAGATAACCCCTTTTTTTTTTAGCACTGGCACACTATGATTGGTCTTCTTAAAACCTTAAGCTGCTTAATCTGAATTTCCCTCTTCTGCAGGGGTTGGAGCACGAGTGTCCCGCGCCAGTGTACTCTCTTTACAGAGTTGTAATGACTGTCTCGATTGACTGAAAATGCGGAAATATCGGGCCCTGGCTCCCTCCATTCTTCCTAGTATGGTGAAAAACCGCTAAAAACTACCACTGGGAGAGGTAGCCTTAGGCACAAAAACTCGAGGTCGTCTGGAGAAACTGGCCAGCACCACTGCCAGACGGTCCCCCCGCTTATGAACTTCTCACCAGCAGGGAGGAGACCACCAAAAATAACCCTATCATTTTCCAAAAATTGATAAATAGTTCTTTTAAAGTTCGCCATTTGCCTTAAACATAACGTTTTCTCTTTCAAAATGGCTCCACATCCCCAAATTAGAGGAGGCAGTTAGAAAGATAGCACGTTTTATCAGAGTTTATTCCTTTGCTAGTATGACATAAAAAATATATATATTTTTTTGAATATCTCAATAACCAAAAATTTAGGTTTACCGCTAAGTAAAAACCCCTGAAGAGAAATTTATTATCTTAGTTTATAATTACAGTTAAAAATACCTGTTCTTTTCATAGCTGCGCAATAGTAAACTAAATTTCAGCTTCACTTCATTATTATAAAGGTAAGCTAAGTAAAATCTCGACAAATTCATATAATTATAGTAAGTATTTTGACTTAATTAAGCTTCTGTTGTTTAGCAAATTTAAAACGGAGACTTTTTTTTTCCTGCCTCAAAAAAAATACTCTGGAATATAATTATTCACCAAGTTGTGTTTATATTTTGGGCTGTACGTGGCCCCTCGTTGTTCTAACAAAGTTAAAGACCCTGTTGATATAGGAGATAAAAATTGCTAGCATCTTAAGGTTAGAGTAAGTCCACGTCATGATACCCTATTTATGTATTAGTGTGTCACATGTTATTGCAAGTATTCATGCCTTACATTTTCTATTACTCCCCTCCATCGCCTCTACAGTACTGTTAAGTTTTTGTAAAGATTCTTATTACAGCTCTATTTTTGTTTATTAATTTAACACTATGGTAGACGTTAAAAAGTCGTAAAGACAATTGCTTTTATTATTTTATTCTAATAGATTTTCAACTACTTTTTGGTGTTTCTCCTCCATTTCCTCTATAATTTTTTGTTCCTTCTTCTTAAATTCCTCTCGTCTCCGTTCATGTTCCCTTTTTAGATCTAAAACTTGTTTTTCGAATTCTTTTTGTTCTTTTTCCTTTTCATGAACTAGTTCTTCTTTTTCCTTTCCCTTTATTCTATCAAATACTCCCCTGTACAAATAAACAGAATTAATTAAATTAACTTGTAGCTACTTTAATAAGTTGACCTTTTGTTTTCAATTTCCTTAATTTTTTCTTTGTGTTTTTTCTCCAAACTTTTTAACTCCTAAAAAAAAAACAATTTATATATAAAAATTTCGTGTAAAATATATATTAATTTTTACTCACATCTTTGTCAACATTTTCTAGAACATTTAGTTCAGAATGAGAGAAATTTTTTTGTAAAGCTAACATTTCTGTATGTCTTAAATTCATGACGTGTTTCATCCCTGTTTTATAAGAATAATAGTATCTGCTTTTTAAAAGTAGGAATAGAAACGATCCACCTTGAATGTAGTGCATGCGGAGTTCCTTGTCATACCTCTTAGCCATTGGATATATTTCTTTTTTAGCTTCTATTTCTATTTGCGACTTATCAAGACGATTTTCTTTAATTTTTTTTTTTTGCTGTTCGGTTATCTTTTTAATTTCCACTTTTAATTGTTTATTAATTTGAGATTCCACCTTACGTACATAATAGATTTTTAATATCAAAAAATTTTAAAGTAAAGAATATTCTTTTTTTGTAAAACCTTCTTAACTTCTTTATCAAGTTTACTATTTTCTTTGCTTTCCATATTTTTAGCCGATTTTTGAACTTCCTCAAATTTCTTATTATATTCTGATATAATTGTAGAGGTCGCTTCTCTTTCCTCTATAATTCCTGTAAGTTTTAGTTGCTCAGGTTCCTCTAACTAGTAAAAAAATTTTAAAATAAGCTCTGTTGCACCTATAAAACTATTATTTCTATTAATAAATAATATAAAGTAACCCACATCAATTTTTTGAGAAGAAAGTGGCAACATATTATCAGAAGTGCAAAATAGTTTTAGCTCTTCCTCGTTTATAGGGACTTCAAAAAAATCATCTTTACATAATTATTATTTTTAATATTGTATTTAAGTTTATAGTAAAAGTAAAGTTGACCTTTAGGTACTATATTCCGGTTGTCTACATCAGAACCATCTTTATTGTCTTCACTATTATCGGATTCGCCAGCCTGCTCCTGATTTAAATTTTCATCTTCCTCATCATGCTCAGCTTCTAGCTTATTATGCCTTTCTACCTCATTTTCATTTCCGTTATTAGTACCACCACATTTGTGATCAGAATCACAGTTGTAAAAACGCTCATTTTGGTCATCGTTTTTATCTTCGGAATGAGCTCTCTCACTAGAAGATACCTCATTATTTTTGTGAACCTAATTTTTGTAAAGACTTTAATTAACTGTACCTGCAAAAGACATTAAAAAAACTATGCTCCTTTAAACTTAAATTTAATGAACACACAAAAAAGCGTATAATTTAAAAATGTTATTTAAGTTAGCTATTGAAATAGGAAAAGAAAAAACTACCATTTTGTTTTCTAATATTACAAAATTTAGTGGTAATTTAATATAAATAACCCTGGTATAGCGTTAAGTGCTTGCGTCATCTCGTTTTATCTATTTAAAAATTAATTTGTCTAATTTTGCGGTGACTATTTAATGTATTACCAATTAAACATATGAAATTTTAAATAATACCGTACTTGTTTTATCTCCAATAAGAATAAAAATATGATAAAAATTAAAATTTGGTCCAATAAAAATGTTAAAGTGAACCCATAAAATTTTGAATTCTTATAAAATGGGCCAATTGGGTGCTTGCCGGATACTTTTAAGTTGTTCCATTAAGTTTACCTTATTCATCTAAAGGTCGAGGTTTTAAGAGTAAGTTTTTTTTAATGTAAATAAAGATATTTAAAAATGCTTTTTAAGCCATACTTCCTGAACCGATAATTTAAACAAATTTTCTGGGTTCTACAATCTCAATAAATATGCAAAGGATACTTTTTAAAATTTAAATTTGATATCTAAACCATTTATGTTACGGATAAATATGCATTAGGATTTTTACGTGTTTAGAAAATATTTATTTTTTTAAAGTTGATATTTTTATAAATATTATAGAAATTAAAAAATGTACCTTCTAAAATAATTATGATTTCAAAAAATTTTGTGAAAAATAGTAATATAAAATAATGGAAATTCCACTTTGTGGAATTAAGTTTCTTTCTTCCGGCGTAGTATATATAACTAAAGGTAGAAAACTATTTTTAAATGAACAATTGCGTCGCTCGCCAAAACAGGTGGGCATTAAGCCATCTACCCCACGCCACCCTCACTCGTGCTCAGAAGAACGATTACTTACGGGACTTAGCAGAATGTAGTTACTACTAAATTATGTTATAAAACATTTCAACATTTTGGACCCTCCCGTTATAATAGAGAATATAGTATGTAACAATAAGTAACAAAATTTATTCAAATTTCAACTTCTTTTATAGTATGAATACTACAAAATATATTTGCTAAGCTATATTATAAATTTGTATAAAATTAGGATAAAGAAGCGGTTACATAATTACACAATTTTGTGCAATATAAAATGTGAAATGCAGGAAGGAAATTTTTATTAAAATTGGCCTTCTTTAATAGTATTAAAAA